TTGTTTATTATATATATATATATATATATATATATATAAGGGAATTGTATAATGGGAAAGTGATGACTCTTTGGGATATTTTTAACATCCTTTAAGCATTAAGAACAGTAATAATTAAACTTTAGGTGTCTCTTAAGGTAGAGGAAAAAGCTAATTCAAAATGAATTATGAAAGTGAAAACCAGCATGAATACAATGAAAGAAAATTACCGGTATATTCGGAAATTATATGCCTATTTCCTTATCATTTCAGCTGCTTGAATGCACACTGAGGGTCACCTACGCGTTGAGCCCAACTCTATATAAATGAGTGAAGAACACTTTTTTGTGTGTTTGCTATATGCACACAATCAGAAAAAAATAGAGCATTCATTCTCAATAAATATCCTGATGAAAATCGTGCAACTATTTAGTGGAACTTTATTCGATTTTCTATTCACAACAAAAACTGTATTTTTCCCTCCTTGATCATGTGCTTGTGAGCACATGTGTTTAATGCTTTACTGTTGTCCTAAATTTACTGCTTGTGTTTCTTCGTCAAACCTTGTTATTATATCACCTTTTTTATGCGTTTTCCTAATTTCTTCATAGAATGTTCTTTTTTTTTAAAAAACTCCGTGCAGAAAGGGGGGCAATTTATTTGGTACTGATAAAAGATGGTGAGGGTAAAATACGTAATCATCGAATGTTTTTACTAGTTGTCTCAATTACACTCGTTTTTTTGTGTGTGTTTGGTTTGTCCGTTTTCTAATGAAAAAGTGAGAAGGACATATTCCCTTTAGCGTTGGATTTTAGGAGTTACTTATTTTAAGTACGTTTTTTTTGTTTGTGCATGTAAGTGTTGGCATGTGAACAGACGATGATATCTAAATGAATTTGTCCAGTGAAAAAATGAAGTCAAAAGAAAAATGTAGCGAAAAGAAACACGTGAGGAAAGTAAAAGATTCAATATGAAGGGTTGCATTAATTGACGAAAATCCTCCTTCATTATTTTATGAACTTAACGGGCACTACTGTATTTGTTCAAATATAATTTTCACTACCTTGTGGTTTACTGTTGTTGTGTAGAATGTCTATTCACCCACCCATACCCCTGTCCTTCAATATGTTATATAATCTATTTGCTAATTTTGGTTACTGTTTTGCTATTAAAATTTTGTCTGTCTTACCAAGCGTAGGGGGAATTTTGAGATAATGATCTATTAATGAGTTAATGTGTTCTGGCCCTCCTCCCACTGATGTAAACATGCGTACTCATTCTTAAGATTTTTATTATATAAATTGTATATAACCAATAAAAAAAAATTTTGCAGAGTGAATTGCCAGTTAGCAAATAAACTCAAATGTCTATGTGCGCTGTTCCTGATGTGTGTGCTACTAATGTGAAGCGAATATCTTTTTCCACCCACGCTTTTACAACCCCCTTAGGTTTCCCTGAGCTCCCTATTGGTATAACCCCCCCCCCCCCCCCTCTTAGCGCGGTGCTTCGCCTGAAAAGGGAAAAAAAAAGGTGCTGCCCGCCTGTTCACCGGTGCTGGGCTGATTTCTCGTTCGCGCGATGGCCGCCGTCGCGACGCCGGTCCTGCGGGGCAGGGGCAAACGCACCCTGCGCAAGTACCTCGAGGGCGTCCCCACCCCCACCACGCTGATCGACCACCTCGCCGGGGCCAATCTCCAGGCCTCCTCGC